AGGCTTTCGACAGTATAAGAAGGGGCGTAGTAGGTAAAGCCGGTCCGCGAAGTGATTAATTTGCCTATATTTAGTTGGAAATTTTAAGGTTATGGAACGTAATAAATTGATGAATACAAAGTTAGTTCGAAACGTCGTACCGTCTAGATCATTTCAATATGCGAACCTACTCACTTACTACCTGATCACTTACTACCTGTAACGTAAAACATTTGGACGTAAAACGTAAGACATTTGGAAACGGAGAATACATCCAAATCATTCTAAGAATGAAAAACGAAAGTGTTTCCATCAAAGAGTTAATAAACTCTTATCTGAGCGGACAGAAAGCTGACATGGCAAAGTATTCATATAAAATTCTACACTGCTATATATGCTCTTTGGTGCTTTTTCTCCAGCGGTAACGAGAAAGACGGGTTTCTTTTGCCGCCGAGCCGACTTGTTCGTACTGAATCGGTGCAACAATGACGACGAAAATTATTTAATTGAATTCGATCCTTCCTTGGCTGAGAGCTTTTGTTTTTAGAAGGGCACAACGCCCCCAGAACGAACACTGGGTCCTTCACCGAAATCCGTTTTCCCTCTGTGAAGATCCCATTGCTTTATGTCCATTTAGAAACTGGCGGTATCATCCCTTTTTACCGTGTTGCCACATCCTCAACTTCTTAACCCTTCCATAATCTCGGCTCGTTTTGCTTGAGCACAAATTTCTGGCCTTTATGTCGTTACCTTGCCAAGCCTTGTACTTTTTTCATGCGCGTAATGACGTACGTCCTGAACAACAAACGGGAACGAGTGCTAAGCATGTAGGGTACGAGCGGCGAAAAAATTTCTGCACTTCTTTCGAACTAGTCGGCCAGCCCCTCGCTGCTGCTTCTTATGTTGTCGCTGTTAGCTACCCAAGAAAGGCTGTTTTTCCTTTCGTGCAAACCCCTGAAATCCTCCGGGATCCCGAGAAATTTCCCACGCCTAGGCCCCTACCCGCTCTATTCCCCTCTTTCTAAAGGTCGTCGCTTCTCGCTGTACGACTTCCATTAAAACCTACTCCAAGTGTAAAGCTTCTATCCATGTAATAAACGTCCCCGCCAGTACACTAGAGTGTACCTGCATATCTGTGTAGGAAGGGCAAATGAACAAGAAACAGCGCCCCGTGCATAAAGCGCGGTTACGGTTGTTGTTTGCGACGGTTTCCGCGGCTACGTGAATTAATGCTTACTTGTTCAGGTGTTAGCAAAGGGTAGGTACAAGCACAGGTTATAAAAATTGCGTTAACAACCCTTAGCAGACCTTTGTCGTTGGAAAGGCCGTGGTCCGCTAGCGATAAACATAACAAAGAAAATGAGAATGTGGAAAAGGATGAGAAAAGTTTAAAGAGTCTGCACGAGAGGAACCTTAAGAATTTGCCGGAAGAGGTTCTGAAAAAGCATTTGTTCAGACTGACAGACTCATTGACGTCTTAGTTTCGAACCAGCCTTGAGGTGTCCAATAAAACTGGCTATGCAGCGTTGACCAAAATACTTGGAAAGCAACGTAAAAATTGTACAAAGATAATTCTATATCGGACCCCCTGGCTTTTTGCGATTTGGGTTGCAGCTTTGATAAACACGAGAATGTTTCTTATTCAATGAATTTACATTTTACATTGTCCGTATATTGTCCTCAAAATGTGGCGTGCTTTTTATAAAGTAATCGAAAACCTGATGCGAACCACATCTCACATTAACGAACGTATTACTACCAATTGAATATTTAACTTATAAAAGTGTTTTTCCCGGTAGTGAATATTCCGCAACCAGACAATCAAGGCTATGAATAGTGCACGTGGTCCTTGGAACAAGCTCAAAGGTTACTCGTTATTTTAAGAGCAGGCAATAGAGAACCGAATGAGAAAGTGTCTATTTTTTTTTCAAAAGCGACATTCGCTTAGATGACGCCATTTTCTATTACGCTTGTGACTATGTTTCCTGTCTAGAAGTCGTACGAGTATTATCCAGCACCCACCATTTCGTACCAGCCCGAGGTGTCCGTTTAGCGACTTTATTTAAGGAGCTAAATAAGGCACAACAGCATCTAGTCATGCGGTCGTGCGCTTGGTCAATGGGTGTGGTCAACAGGTTTCTCGTGCTCTACTCGACGAACAGATTTAAAATAAATGATTTCCAGCTTGCCAAACTTAGAAAATTTCTATCGAAATGGCAATGTTAGGACCTCCAATATTCCCTTAGGATATTACTGCTTTCGTCGATGGATCGTGTATTTATCCATACTACAGCACAGTGTACACGATTTACAAATGAATCAAAATCGACGATCACTTGTTAGGCCTGATTTGCACAGTAGGTCGACTTCAACAAAATCGGCTCAATTTTCGCAAAGCCACGGCTGAAAAGCTCCGAGCAAACGATACACGAGCATAGGACCAAGTAGGTAGTAAAGTCTTGAAGTTATCGCAAAGAGCATCAAACCGAGTGCGGTGATTCACTTTTGTCGCACACAAACATGGCCAATGCGCATCGGCGTTTTGTTTTTGTCGTAGAAACTTTGTGGCTGGGACCTTTGTACGTAAACGAATTTGCAATTTCATTGAAATATCCGTGGAGCTTCCTTCACTCAAGTCTGTGGCGGTTGACAAGCGTCAAGTTACTGTGGTCGAGACCAAGTTCCCGCTAGGCTCGTTCATAAGAGCCTTGTTGCCCTTTCCTTGCTGTGTGCTTTTGAAAATATCGCCAAAAATTTCAGCGAACAGTAGCTGAATCCGTAAGCTGTATTCTCGGCAAATAAGAGCCTTTGATAATGATTCTCTGTCATGATACTGTAGAAATGTGTTTGAAGCTGGAATTGACGGGTAAACATCAAGAGAACAAAGGTAAGATTTGTTGTCAAGCAAGAAAAAAGCCCAAATTAAGCTTCTCCTGCAACAGCAATATTATTATAGGAAACATAGTACGCAATTTATCTATAAAATTTAGCTGTCATAGCCCAGATTTGTATTAACCATTGCACGCGTATGTATTGCTAAGTGCTTGAACTTCATACGCATTTGAAATGTAATCATCACCGAGTTGTTTAACAAACCCGAAGGCCACCGATTTGATTTTAACAGATATAACACTACTTCATGCGTATCGGAAATGTACAAGCCCGTTGTGCTAGTGCACCTGGCTGTTCGACTAGTAACGTCAGCACACACTACTAACTAAGTGTATCTTCCTTCGATATAAAAATTATGCTCTATCTAAATACATATTTGTCGGGCCCACGAAAACGCACTTCTTTTTCCACCTTTTTTTTGCTCCTTCAAGGTCCCTGATTATTTGTATACAATTTCTATTATTTCAGCTTGTCACTGACGCAGCTAGCAACTAGCGGCCTATATAAACGTTTCCTGCTTTCTTTCTTCGTGCGTTCAACTGGCGCGGCCGCCGTACTCCTGTGTTATGTCTGCTCTTTTCCGAGGTCTGGAGGCAGTACGAGGTACCAAGTAGGCCTGCTTCCCTTCTATCCTCCAGTGTCACGAACCTAGTCTACTTTCTCTATGCCGAAGGCGGCCAATTTCCCGAGCAAGCACATTAGACCAAGGAGAGAGCGGGTGTTCTTTCAGTGGCGACATCTTCGCAGAGCGACTGGCAGACATTTGAAACTCTCAGGCCTGGCCTGGTTCGCAGCTGCAGCCGTATGGAGCCAGCGAAGTACTTCCTTTTAATCAGGACTACTTGAGGTGTGACTGACGAATAACTCGTGAAGAAAACGGGGCTGAAAATAATGTAGGGAGAGCAGACTGTGACCACCAGGGTCCCCTGCGCGCAAACAATATTCTGCATGCGAAAGGTAAACGAAGTCAAGTTGCACGGATGCAGCCGCAGCCAGGATGGAAGCGGGGGCATCGAACTTCATTATCACTCGAGTTATATAATCGAGTACAGTTAGTTATTTTTTTTCGCGCTTTTTTACGGTCTTTTATATTCAAGTTACTAGAATTATAATAGGTACTAATACTAGTACATACATATTGCTAATTAGTAGTGCGTTACGTGCATTATATATGGACCAGGGAAAAGTAAACGTGCAGTGGGAGAAGCATTTCAAACCACGAAAATCATACGCTCAACCCAAAATAGCACCGAGTATTGACCGACTGCTCAAACAAGTAATATTTGTGCCTAAACTTAACGTGCTTTTTATTGGAGCTGTTAACGTCGTCACTGTTAAATAACTGAAACGGTATATATATATATATATTGGTTGACAATCACAGGTTTCGCGGACTTTATTCCAATCAATAATTTCAAACGCATCAAAGCTTCAGTAAATATACGCTGTTTAATACAACACCGAAATGTATAGAGCTAATCGATGGTTCACTTTTGACATTTCGAATATAGTCATTTTTTGCGATAACGTTTAATATTACTATATATACATGTATGTAAGTAGATAATTCTGTGATCTGCGTCCATAATGTGCTCACAATACTCTTTTCAAGCTGAACGCTTCTTCTTTCAAGGCCTTTTCGTTTGTTTCGCACCAACTTTATAATGCCTTTGCACGTCTTGGACACGTTTACATAGTAAGCGTTCCGCTCATCTCGGCCATCTCTTGTTCAGTACTTTACTCACACAATGTATATCTATCTCGCATGCAAAAACTGTGCAGCTCCTGAGGGGCTGTGGCTGGCCTTATGGGCTACTTCGCTTTGTGGCCTGAGCAGTTTCAGTGAAACGCAACACGTGTATGCAGGACGATTCGCTTATAGCAGTTTGTTTACCAGTTAAATTTTGCCACTTTGCTATACGTATCGCAAATTAAGCATTAAACTGATTTTAATAGCTAATAAATGCACCCGTGCAAATAGAAAATGAAGCCTCTATAATTGTGTCTATTTGTATCGCCGCATAGATTTCGTTAATTAGTATCCTTCGATCCCACAGCTACTTGCCGCCATGGCTTCCATAGCAATTTGTGCAAACGCTTCTTACGAATAGTAGAATGATCCTAGTCAGTGATCTTACGAACGTCCATGGCTGTCAGGGCTACAGAAAGACTACCTTCTGGTAACAACAACGAAGCAAGCTCATGGAGCTTCTCTTTTGTGGCATAGACTTTCACAAGCAGATATCCAGGTGGTAAAACTGTACCTACTTGACCAGTCTAGATAAATTAGGCGTACCATTGAATGGCCATGTCGCCAAACTCAACAGATGACCAACTTCAAAACAGAACAGACACCGGCCATTCAATAGAAGAACTGTTCTTTAGCGCCTCATCCGACTTAGGATCGGACATTGATGACGAATTGTTCTTCGAGGCGGAAACTGACCTCGTACAATCGTTAGAGCAAGTGTTGGAGACTGAAGTTTTACTAAGGGCAGCACATATCGGAGAGGATGATGGAGAAGTGTGTCTCGGTGGTGCTCCGAGAGATTGTAAGCTAGAAAAGGATCCTGACCTCGAATCGCCACTGTCATCCGTTGATAATTTTCCTTCGGTGTCAGATAGTGGATACCTAGCGGACAGTGATTCGAGTATTAGAACCTCGGCGGTCGGATCGTCTACAGATTTTCCCGACGCAGGGGGCGATACAGGTGTGCTCGCTAGTGTCACGCAACTTGAGACCATTTCGGAAGAAACTGGCTTTGATGATGGGGTAGGGCTTCTGAATCAAGACGAACGCCGCTTAGATCAAGACTCCTTTCAGAGTGTAAGTAAGACTACGGTCAGGCTAAATAAGCGAAGCGTTGTTAGAACGCTTGAAGGCTCGAGTTCTGTTGAGCTGAGTAGCCGTCTCTGGATAGCACCATTAACTGGCAGCGAAGCAGACAGATCAATCACGCTCACTTCATCGTCCAATGCCAGTGAACAAAATGAAGTTCTTGCATCTGCCAGTGATCAGATGAAGCTGGATGATAGCCTAACACAACGGGTCACACGAAATTCTGCTGGGCATTTGGCCCTTACAGAGCAAAGTGATGCCCGATATAGTAGAAACCCGAGCCCCTATAGGCGCATATCCGAGCAGCTGTCCACTGACAGCGATTCGGAGACATATTCTTTGGTAAGCTGGGCTAAATGGGACAGGATGCGAGTCGGTGTGTCAATTGTGGGGGCGGTAGCAGCAACAGTGACATTACTAGTTTTGTTACCTCGGGGTAGGCCGCATATGTAAGGCCCATGGGGATTTTTAGGTGAAAGCTACAAGTATTTAGTCTGCTTAAGTACCCAAGCATGCATTTGATTACTAGCCATACTGTTACTGGAAGTCTTGTTTTTAATGAATGCATAATATATACTATGGCAAAAAGCAATTTAAATATTTGTCTTAATAAACGAATAAAGCCCCGTAGTGTTGTATTTTTCTAAATATTCTTTCTTACGGATAATAAATACTTGCAGACGTGCATGTAGTTCGCGGTCGTATTTCGTATATACTCATACACGGGCTAGAGGCTTCTCATCAGCATATTGGAAATCTAATGGCAGATACTACGAAACGGGCAGTAGATCTTCAAACAGAGGTAAAGACAGAAATAAACACGAACATAAACTAGCGAACCAGTAATATTTTTAACGTAATATTTTATGCTGTACTGATTTATTGATATTATTATAAGGATCGTAGAAGTCAGTCGCCTCTCTGAACATAAGTATTTTACATCTTCGAATGTCGTTAATAAGATCTATTGCAAGATCCTGGACGTTTTACAGATAATCTGTCATTGAAGCATGCCCAATAAACTTGCGCTCAGAAAAAAATAAGGAGGCTCAGAATGTTCCACACGCATGCGTGAACGCGACGAAATGTTTAGTCTATACATCACTACTTAGTATGCCGATTTGGCTTAAGCACTCACTTTAACTTGAAGCCCAAAAAAAATTGAAGACCGCTATAAAATTTCTAGCGGCAATTTTTCGTTCTGCAACCGTTTTATTCAGCAGTGTATGCAAGAAAACTAAGACCATATAGCCACTGCATCGTTTGCCTGTAGTAGTCCAATGATGAATGTCATGCAGCAGAACGAAGTTTATCCTGGCGGCTTTATGCGTCAAAATCAATGAGTCAGAAATGTACGTAAAGCTTGAACTTCTCACATGTTATCGGCAGTATTTGCCCTTTTAGGACAAAACGCTATGCATTGATATTTAGACACCTGATTCTTTGGGCGATGATTCTACGTTAGGTTTCGATTTGTATATGGATCCATGTAAAGGTTACAGTTTTGAAAGCTTTGTACGAAAACATAATAATAGGACGTTAGGGAGACTAGGTCGAGCAAGTTTTCGCTGCTGCAGCCGACTTAGAAAGAACAGGTTTAATAGGCGTTGAGTCGACAAAATAGGGACGATTCAAAAGGAAGCGCGTAAATGACTGTTGATTAAATTTGAGTTCATACGGGATTGAAGAATCACAGCTGTTCCGCGGGCACCGATCATTCGTGATGCTTAATGCAAAGAGTATTCTCAATAAGTACGGCTACAATCGGCTGAAAAGGATTCTGCGCGATTTCTAAATTTTTTTTTATCGGGGATACGCGGTGTCTACAAAAACTTGCAAAAGTTCTGCACACCTCCAAAGAAATAAAGCACTTCATGCACATCAATTCTACTTTCATGAAGCATTATAAAACCTTTTTAGTAACCGAAGAAGGCAAAAGGAGTACTCGAATGATCCCGTATCTCATTACAAACATATTACACTTCTTAAACCTTATTCGAATATTTATAAACACTGCGAGGTACTCCTCAGATTTCTTCCTCAGACAAATACTCACACAGTAAATAAGCACCATTTACCAGCACTAACAAGCCGTATTATAGTAATTTCAACAAAACAAGGGAAAGGTCAAATTCTGTAGTCTGTTTTTCTTTGTCAGATGAAAATACTATTCACGCAGCTATTTGTCATTGGTATCAAACAGTATGCAAAGTGGACCTGAGTGTGGATTCGATCTTGATGCGTATAAAATATATCACTGCAGATACCAATTGCACTGCGTAAGATTTTAATTAGGCCGCATAGTTACAAGTTTCTGTTCATCGTATATCGAAATAGATTCAAGGGAAGGTCGAGTTGTTTATTCGGCATCAAACGTGCCTTTATGTATATTGAATGGAACAACCTTTACTAAAAAAAAACTTCTAATAATAATGATAATAACATAGGCAAAACGAACACAATGATCCACCACTATCAATAAAGGAAAAGCCTTGCCGCTGTAAATGCTTGCGTAGCCTATGAGGTTTAGGTGTGCTTTCTCGACAGAACCTTTCGTTGCGGGCTCTGCTAGAAGATATCGAGCCTGACGGGATAACGGTCCTGCAATTGGCGACTTTCGCACCGAGCCATCGCCTTCCGGATTCGCGAACTAAGGCCACGCCTTACAAAAAAATCCGCCCTTTTACGCATTAAAATGTCCTGTCAAAGCCCACATATTTTGCGAAAGCAATCTCCTCTTCCCTAAATATGATATGCACGGATAGTTTTTAACGCGAATGCTGTAATAAGCTGGCTCATCTTCCTAGTTTAAGGATCGTGCGCGATTGCGAGTCCCTTCACTGCCTTCTTGACACTTCTTTCAGCTTAAGACTGCCAAACCTCAAATTAGCGGAACGGTCAGCCGTATTGGCATCAGAGCTACCCTTACGATGTGCAACATAAAAGTAATATTCCTGTAGGATGGGCGCTTCTCCGAACTGCGACATTTTGAGCGTCGGTCAGGCGACTGCTGCCATGTTCGGCAACCTGCACCAACGCCGCCTTAAACCCAGTTTGATTCGCATTTATCTGTAACCTCGTCTCCGAATACAGCTAAAAATCATATAGAATGGTGCATTATGTAGGGCCTATGAAAGAACGCTCAGTGTTTACTAAGGCACATAGCGAGCTTTTTATTTGCAAAAATCTAACATGAAACGTCACTAACGATAGACGAGACTTCAAGTCGCCGAAGCAAGCAGGGTTTTGTAACTAGTTTTACTGTGATTTTAATTTTTTCCATCCTGTAAAACTTACAACCTGGCTCGTCACTTCCAACAGCATTTGCAGATGATTTGTTTTATATTATAATGATTAGTTGTACTTACACTTGAACTACGATTTTTTACATAGGAAATTTACTGTGTTGCTTCAAAACAAGGATGATCGTCTTAAGAACACGACCAAATCGGTTACCCAGTAAATTTTTTTAAACAACTATTTCAAGAGTCCATTTATGGACCTCTCTAGCAAACTTATCAAAAGAAACAAATGCGCCTGAAAGCCCTTAATAATTTTATTGCTTTTAGAAAAATAAGCATTTTTAGGAAGCTCTGCAAAGAAGCCTCAACGAAAGCCATTTAAGTTCGTGAACGCATGATTATTTCACAGCTGACCGGCACGTATCTATTTTTAGGATCCTCAGCTGTCCCTTTACAAGCTCTGGTGAAGAACTTTTACAGGACGTGCGACAGAACTGTGCTACCTCACACATGATTATGCTTAGGCTAGGAAGGTTGCTATATTTAATATCTTAAAATCCGGCTGCCTACGCCCACATGAGCTTGGGCTCATAGACCTAGGAAACTAATAAATAATTGATTCATTTAAATATACGTTTATCTCTGTTTTCCTGTTCTGTTTAAATATGGAAAATGATCTTTTTTTTTTTTATGAAACTTTCACTGAAGATAAATTTCCTTAATTTTATTGAAACCAACGAAGTAAATTCATAAAAAACACATCACTTTCTAAACAGAAAGAAATTCTCAAAGAAAGATAGTCCTTTTACATGATAGGTTTAATGTTTGTTGCTAAGCAGTCATTCGGAATTGCAGTCGTGCTAATATAATAGAGGCTGTTACATTAAAAGCGAGTTGGGAAAAGGCAGTGAGAACGATTGGGACTAGATGTAGAAGGCTAGACAACTAATTACGTAGGCTTCACAAAGCATATTTGTTGTTACAGCTGCATAGAAGTAATGTTTTGTATAGGTAATATTTATAGCAATGTAGAACTGTTATGTCTGTGCGTTTATGAAAATAGAGCGACATGCCTGATTTAACAACTCCTTATCAAGACCGTCAATTTCAAATAGTTTATCATTAACAAAGCCACTAAAAGCTGTGTTGGTCGTCTTGGAAATTTATTTGAAGTTCAGAGCATTTGTATGCGAAGTACGCACAAAGATAGGTAGGTTCTTTAAACGTCTTTTTTTTTCATAAACGTCGATAAACAAAAAAAAAGTCGATGAAATTGAGTATCGATACTTGCACTTAATCTCTATCGATAGGTTTTTAGACGTCGATAAGAAGTTATGGCAAAAAAAAGCAACCTAATAATGCACTAAACTTTTGATAGATGTATCGTTTAGTAACGCAACAAGTTTATAATCGTATATAAATTGTTTTCTGGTTGATTATCCGTTAAAACAAAAATCCGATCCGACCAGTCGTAACCTATACTGGCTCAAAATTAATCTACCCTTTACCATAATTTTTTTTTGTATACGAACTTCACGTCTCCAATAGCTGTTTAGCTTATGGTAACGGTTGACCGCCTCCCTCCAAGAAAAGGGATCATCAACCAATAATTCACGTTTCCATCCGATGCCTCATCGAGGAATCCTGTTTTCTCTCTGCCGCTGATATCCGCAGGCGGGACTCTGACAGGACTCGCGAAAAATTAGCGGGCAGCCATTTTTTTATCATGATACTTTCTTTGAAGGGGAGCTATTTTCTTGTCGCTTCCCGCGTTCTCTTCCCCCGTCCGTCCGAGTTAGATCCTTCTTTCGTTTCCGTCATCTGGTGTATGGCAACGCCTTGGGGAAACAACCCGCAATGATCTTGCCCATCGCACTGTATGACACTTCGTTGCGGCATCGACTTAAACAGACGCGTTAGGAAAATACTTCGTCTTTTATGAATTCACTGGTAGATTCACTTCTTCAGGTGGTATGCAAGGACAAAGAAGGAATTGGTTATATGAAAGTTGCGACTATAAAGTCAAGGTGAACTAAAAAGATACGCATATTAATAAGGTTGGCATCATGCGTTAGAGTCTTGTATGCATTTCTGCTACTGACTTTTTCTTCTAAAAAGTATAAAATTAACTTTCTGAAGATCGAACACTTGCATCGAATCGAGAGAATGTACTTGGTAGGATTAACAATAAGAAAAAAAGACAGGTGAGTGCAGTATAGAAAACCTGGAGCACTTGGAGGAGTGCTGGGTGAGAAGATGAGAGGTAATTGCCACGCGGAAAAAGCGGGACGGTCTGCAATTCCTGGCGTGGCGTACCGTAATTACAGGTTGCCTTGATGTGTGGCCCTTTCCTTCCAGTTGGTCTTTCGCTGCTGGACTCCACTTTGCTCCAGCTTCACCTGATCTTAAAATTCATCGTCGTAGCGCTGTAGGCTCTTGTGCCAGCGCACAAGAGCCTACAGCGCTACAACAGGACACTGTTTGTGCGTTGTGCTTTCTGTACGTGGCAGAGAACAGATTGCTCACCAATTGGCTACAACGACATAGGACTCATAACGGC